AATGCAGACCCTGTTGTATTTTCTTGTAATTTATTAAAAGAAGGTACACCGCCATCTTGTGCCGACTAAACTGACTTGAACGCACCTGACGTCGTAATTACGACTTGTCAACTCGTAAGTACAAACGTCCCAGGAGGACTTGAACGCAGCAATAGCCCCTTTTATACCAACCCATGAACGCGCAATTATCTCATAACTCAATCCAGTCATACTAATCATCAACAACAGGTGCTTTCGAAGAACCGAGTTAGCCAGATCCTGATTAGCGCGATGATATCATCTTGGATGTGACATTTCATCTCGGATATAATAAGCGACGTACGAAGAACGGGCCCCTGGTTGAAAACCTTGCATGTGGATGACAACAAACTTGGGCTCTGTAGTGTGTTTTATTCTTTTACTTGTTTACACAACAGATAGTTTTAAGTTTTATTGTGGAGGACAGTTTAAAACCAACAAACTAACCACTGCTAAAGAAAACAAGCATTTGTGTAGTTTGACTTTTTCCTCAAAACCTGGCAGAGAAACTTGTGACAACTAGCTCCGATCTAGGTCTAAAATCTGGTAGGCGGGGTTTGTACGCTCAGGAAAACAAACAGGAGAATTTTAAAAATAAACATTATTGAATTATCAGGGGTGTATTCCAGAAAGGAGGTTCAAACTTCAAGTTAAAACTTGAACTCTGAATTGACTTACCCTGAGATTGGAAACTCTGAGTTTTCGGTTTCGGTTACCGAGAGGTTTAGTGTTGTCTTTTATTGTAATCGAAAACACAGAGTTTCCCTTTTCTGGGGTTAACAAACTTTGAGTTTCCAACAAAACCCACTTTCTGGAATACACCCCAGCTTAAAGCAGGGCTGCGTTCCACTCCACTTTTAGACACGCACTTGCAAACTTCCCTAAGCACTTCCCCTCGGGGGAATCCCCGATGCCATTTTGAAGTGCATTCCACTTCGTGAAGTGGACGAGGGAAGTTTATATGGACAGACCCTCGACCCCTCGATTTTGACCGAGGGAGCGAGTCTGCTTCATATGCACACTTCAGGCCGCTCCATAG